AGAGGAAAGTCCAGACCACTTGGGGGTTTAGTTCATAGTACAAGATCAGGCTGAAGGGGGGCTCATACTTAAGTCCTCCTGTATTTCTGGTCATGAGTGTCTGCCCCAGAAATATAATAGCATATTGATTCCATTGTATTTTCCTGAGTTTTTATGTGTCAAGGTGAGCCAGGGCATGTGCACAATTTCATATGTGTGTGTATGTCAATCTCTATATTTCAACACAGGCTAAGCATGGACCCAGAAATGAGGCCAGAAGGAAATGTGTACCATAAAGGAGGAGGGATGCCATCACCTGTGCACAAGCTGGTGAAAGCCCTGTACCCATGGAACCAGGATGAATTGACTCTCAGGTTGTGTTCACATATATAAGTATGCAGCAGTATGTGTGTGTTTATATAAGCAAATCCCCATGTGTGTGTGGCCTGTGTATGTGTGTATACACAGATACAAAGACCAACTGCAATCTGGTTCTATGTCTGGGTGACAGTGTGTGTGTAGCATGTGTATACATTTACAAATATTTCCCAATCTGGTTCTGTGATCTTGTGGTTGAGTGTGCATGTGTGTGTGTTTCGTGTGTGTGTTTACAATGTAATCTCAGGCCTGTGACTATGTGTGATATGTGTTTGTGTGTTTAAATGCAAAGTCATGTCTGAGTGAGCATCTGAATGACTCTGTGTGTTCCACATGCACACTCCAGCCTGATTCCATGTCCCCAACTTCATGTGTAGATGCAGGTCCTTTGACCACAATGGCTGAGCCCAGGCAGGTCCTGAGGCTGGCTTAGCGCCTGGGGAAGTATATATAGGTGACTTGTGTTTACCAGCAACCTGGACCAGCCTTTGTCTGGTATCCGCTCCCATTGACCTCAACATTCCTCACCCTGGCAGGACCTCAGCCGTCCTTGGTCACAGACTGCCTTTCCCAAAGAGTCCCTTTAACTCACAGTCCCTTTTCCGGCCAGGGGGCTGAGAGTTGGGGGATATTCATCTCGGGGAGTTTTTGTTCCACCTCATGAAAGGCCTCAATGGCTGGGAATACCATTCTAATTACGGGGAAGCCCAGCTTATGTGGGGGACACAAAGGGCTGTGGTCTCATAGCAGCTCCTTCCATCCGTCAAATAAGTCCGTCTAATGATGGGGTGAGAGCTGTGAATGCCTAAAACAAACTCGAAAAGGAGGGAAAATAAAGCCGCCGGGGGCTTAAAATATATTAAATTACCCTGATTAGGAGTCGTGGCTTTGCAGGCACTGGTTGGAGAGGCTGCGGAGGCTGCAAGTCCCGCTATTCACGTGGGGGGAGAGGGGTCAGTAGGTCGGGGGGGTTCACAGAGCCCTGGCCCATTCTCATGCTAACACCAGGGACACACTGCAGGCTTAGTGGGCTGGAAAATAGAAATGAATTTGCGGTAATCCTCCTCCTCCTTCTCCCTCCCTCCCTCTGCTGCACAGAAGCTTTGCCTAATTGCAGCCCTTAAAGCCTGCTGGGCATTGGGGCAGGGACACACCCTGCAGCCTGCACCCCTGGGCGCGTTCTCTCTCTCTTTTACACCTCCTTTCTGTGGGGCCCCAAAATGAGAATGAGTTCAAGGGCTCATCTAAAGGAGTAGAGGGGTTTCAGTATGGTAGGGTGCGAGTGTGTGTGCATGGGTGTGCACACTTTTCTTTTGAATGTGCAATTATTCATGATTTAATTAACCCTTTACACACAGGCACACCATTCACAGACACACATATCCCTTCACTGTTTCACACACACCTCCTTATACACCCTTTCTCAAATATTCACAAATACATCTTCACACAATTTGCAGACACAGGCATCCATTCGTGGTCCGGTACACACAGCACCCCTCACCCTTTTTCAGGCATTCACAGAGCCCTTTGTGGGCACTCATAAATGGAGATGTGTCCCTTCTCAGGAGGCCATATTCTTCCCAGACATGAACACACATGCATTCATCCCTTCAGAGGTGACCTCAGAAACCCAAACCTGGTCCCACTGCAGTGTTTTATAGCAGAGGAAACAAGATCAGAAGAAAGCTAGAGCTTGGCCCTTTCCCAGTTTTCCTTGAATCAGCCCTATTTCTAACAGTTGCAAGACCTGAGAAGCTTTTGGGTGGAGTTCTCTCTCTCTCTCTCTCTCTCTCTCTCTCTCTCTCTCTCTCTCTCTCTCTGCTGGGGATCCCCTTAGTCCCTCGTCCTTCCAGGACCTGTTGTAGGGTGACGACGCCAACCCTCCCACCCACCTTAGGCCGCACTCTTCCGTGGCTTTGTTCCCGCGACTGTGTAACTTTGGTGGTGTCAGGTGTGGCTCTAAGCCTTTGAGCCCCACAGTGTGGCGCCAGGGGCCCAGGAGAGGCATTCAAACGCCTGCCTCTCCGGCTCAAGGCGCCCTCTGCCGGCGGACCCGTAATAGTCGGGTAGGGAGCAGTCCAAATGAGTGCACGTGACCCTCGGACTTGACCCCGAGAATCCGGCACAGTAAAACCTGTCCCCGACCCCGGGTTTCTCCGCTCAGCTGTGGGAGAAGCCAAGGACCGCGCACCAGACTGGAACAGTAACCGCAAAAGTAAACCGAGCAGAAGGATCATGGGAACCACAAGTCCAGGCTCCGCGGTCCCTTTCCCTTCACGACCTCTAGGAACAACCCCCTTTACCTCCTCCCGCAGAAAGGAAGCCTACCCCGAAGGCGTACGACGGGCACCAGGGACAGGACCTGCACACCCAGAGTCGGCTGCCGGCTGTTAGCTAACCTGAGCCTAATGGGCTCAGCCTTCTCTTCCATGATCCGCAGCCAAAGAAATCCAGGGGACTCCCCCCAGAATTTTCAAGAACCTACCTTCCACCCATCCCAGGCAGAGAAAGTGAGGAACCTCGAGTCCCTAGAAGACCGTGCTGCAGAGCACTGGGGTCAGCAGAGGCCACCGCCACCCTCTCTCCAGGCGGGCGGCACAGGTTGCGGCAAAGTCGCAGCACGACCCCTGCGCTGCAGGTGAAAGCGTGCAAACGAGATCCTCCTGGCCTAGACACTCATTTGCGCTAAGTGGTAACTTGGCATCATGGGGACAAAGTGGGAGCTTGGGGGACCAAAGGCCAGAGACTAAAATGGAGGTAATAGTCCAGGTCGTTTCAAGGAACCACTGAGTTTCAGTAGGCGAGATGGTACAAGAACTAAAGATCTCTACCCTGCTCTTAGAGTCAGAAACAAAGCCAGTACAGGTGACACGTCCAGGGGCCACAAGTTCTACTAGACGTATCTCAGTCTTCAAGCACTCCCAATGATCCATTCTTGGCCCTATACACACGGGGCTCTCTTCCCAATCCCCAAGCCAGCTTGGGTCTAGCTCTTCTGTAAGTTTTTCTAGGTTGGACTCCATAGGCTTTCCTCCGGCTTCCCAGATCCAGGCCTGCCAGCACCGCGTATTCCCGTCATAGGGACGGAGTAACCGCAGGCATTCATCCAGAAGAACCAGTGGGGTGGAGATTTGAACACTAGCGGCACTGTGTAGAGAGGTCACGCCCTCCCCGCGCCCTGAGTCCAGTCCGAGGGCCTCCAACCAGCTCCAGTATTTCTCAAACTGTCCTGGGCCTCAGACCTTGTTCCATCATGGGGGTGGAGGACCCCAGCCTGCTCTGCTTCCATTCCACACTGCTCCTCCCTAGCCCTTGTGGGGAGCCAGGTTGCCCGCCCCTCCCCACCACCAGAGACAGCAGAGATGTGAACCAAGAGCATGGCTGAAAAGAGTAAAAATAGGGGTGCTGAAGGGAGAAGGAGTAGGGTTGAAGTCCTTAATGCTACTACCATGCTCCAATCGCCTCTTGGTGACTAGTCCCTGGCAACTCTCTCAAGCTCTTTCCCAAATTCAGAGATTTCCTGAGGAAACCCAAGCACCCACGCCATTAAACACGCAAGGCAAACCATACAAGAGCAACTAATTCTAATTCCAGAACTTTCTCTAAATAAAATTTGCAAAGCTTCAGATGGGAAAGCTCAGTCCCTGGGCCTAGGTAAGAAGGTAGCACAGGTGGAGAAGGAGATCGTGGGAGGCCCTCCGAGCTAAAGGAAACCCCTTGACTGGGTCCTCCGGATGGCCCTGACCTCTGGTCTCCTTCTGGGGCTGGAAAGGCACCAGGCATACTCCGGTTCCAGCTGACCTAGGATCCCCAAGGCCGAATGCCTGTGTAGTCCCAACACAGAAACCCGCTGGGTATAGGAAGGCGATTTGTGGCAGAAAAGGCAGCAACAAGGAAATGTTGGGCCATCCTGTTTTTTAGCCCATCTCTAGAGGTCACATTCACCATCCCTTGTCTCTGCCCTCATGCAATTGGCTTACCCTCTCAACGACCTCCCGTTAATCATAAAGAGAAACAAGATGATTTTCTAGAATTTCCCAAAATAAGCGGCTGTATTTGAGACAAATTTCAGAAAGCTGATTTTGTTTTCCTCGGTTTGATGGCACTGCCAGGGCTAAAGAGGATCTCTCCTGGCCAGACGCCTGCACTACGGAGGAAACTGGGAGGGGCTGGGGACTCCGGAGGACTCCGTGGACTCCGGGGACTCTCCTGTTTCTGCGGCTAACCGCAGCCGGAGTTTCCACCGCCGGTCTCCAGCAATCTTGGGTTCTAGTGCTCTGTGCCTCGCAAAGGAAGTCAGTCCCTAAACTCCGTAGGACACAACCGCTTCCACCACGCAGGACCCAAGGGTCTTTCCCAGTGCTTGGCAAGAGTTTGGAGGTTGGATGTGCAGGGAACGCCTGCGGTCGGTGTAAAGGGAATGTGCTAGGAAACCCCTGATATACAGGGATTCTGTGAACATCTTGGATCCCTGAACCCTGAATGGACACCTTCATGAGCCATGCAAGGTCTTGGCGGCAGAGCCAGGCTTTCAGTAATGGCTCTGGGCTTCTGTTTATAAAACACAGAATGAAATCGGAAAAGCTGAATGAAGACAAAGCCATTTTTAAACGTTGGATTAGCTAAATCTCCACACTTACCAAACACTTTCATTTTCAGAGCTGTTTGTGGCAGTACGCAGGTCCAGAAAATCGACTGTGTTTAAGGACGAATTCCACCCAGGGAAGAGTTCTGGGAACGTGTGCCCGTGTACACAGAAAGCGCATATGTTGGAAGGAATGTATGAATGGAAAAGAAGCACGCCTTCACCCTCCCAAAAGCATTTAAAGGTTACTGCCTTGCCTTTGTGGGAATTTACAAATTAATACATATTTATCACACTTTTATATCTTCCCTGGGGCTGCCTGGGTTGTGTGGGTGGAGCAGGCCACTCCCTCAGTTCCCTTCTCTGGGAAATCTTAGCTGTGTCAGAAGAAAGCTGCTCTTCGGCTCATCCGGGTTCGCGAAAGACCCATTTTTCCTTGGATACTGGCCTAGGAGTTTGCAAATTGAGCTAGCTGGATCTATATATTCTCCTCCCAAATGTCCAAGACTTAAGAGCCAGGACCAGGGGGCCCAGCTGGAGAAAGTAGGGAGAAAATGGTGCAGTTGGGGCACACCTGGCCGAGGTTGACAGGCATCACGGACACCTTAGACCACTGCTTCCAATATTTTGCACAATGTTTAGGAAACCGGGACAGCAGTCCTCAGGTATGCGCAAGTGTGTCCACAAGGCCCTTGTGGCTAGAATGGCAGTCTTTCCAAAGGTCCTGCCTTCCCCAAGCTGACTTTTCTTATCAATGGGAGAAATGCAGGCTATTGACCCAGCGGCCTCCTCCTCTCCGCCTATTGTTGCAGCTCAATCACACACTTACGGAAGAAAAGCGAGTTTATCTTAGTCTAGAGGGGCCTCGTGTTGAGAGAGAGAGAGAGAGAGAGAGAGAGAGAGAGAGAACACGCGCGCACGCGCGCGCGCCTCAGGGTGGGGAAAATTCTGCATCCAGCACTGTGCAGATGGGTTGAGGATAGCCACTTTCAGAAAAGGGCCAATTTCCCCTTCACAATGAGCGCTAAGTACCTGATAAATAGGGCTGGTGTTTATTCATGAGCAGGTACTTTGGAGATGGCGATTAGAACAGCCGCCCGCGCTGCCTAGCCAAGGTACTTAAAGCCGGGCAGGTGCAGCTCTGCGCGCCGCCCCAGCTCACAAAGCCCACGGCCGCCTCAGCGCGGGGAGGGGGCATAAATGCAGGGCGCGCCCGGCCCCAAGGGCGCGTATCGCGTCGGCACCTTAGCCCTTTGTTCCTCTTCGGAAGCCAAGGCCACTCCACGGAGAGGCGCCCTGGGAAAACCTCCCCTCCAATTACTAGGAATTTCCCATCCTTCCTCCTCCCAGGAGCCCAGTCGGGCAGCTCTCGATCTGGCGGACACTGGAACGCGTCCGACCAGGCTCTGCATCTATATAAATGTTTTTGCCCGTAAGCTGGTTATTAGCTAGCCAGCTAAGTAACTAACTAGGCAAGAAACTGAACCCAGGCCTGGCAACCGCGCGGGCACGCGGCTCTAGCAGCCCCCGCCGCCAAGGCGCCACCTCTGGCGGTGCAGACAACCTCGGGCTTTCAGGTTTTGTTTCAACTCCAAGTGGAGAAAATTGGGGTCTGTCTCATTCTACAGTTTCCTGGCGCCAAGGTCGTGGGACAAACGCGATCTCGCCCCTAGAGCGACTCCAGAATCCCTAAGAATTCCCATCATTTGCGGTAGCCTCGCCATATCACACTTGGAGAGAGCATAGCGGGCGCCGGCCTCGGGGAACAGAAGACAGGATCTTCTGCGCTTAGGGACAGTGGAGCAGCAGTTGGGAGCCGTGACTTTGCGTGGCAATCTGTATTTGACACACCCCAGGTAGCTCAGGCTCTTTGTGTACTTAATGTCGGAGGTCTAAGGCACCGGTGGCAGTGCGCACTCTTGGGGCCTGCTCAGATTGCCTTTTTTGTTGTTGTCCGCACGTTTTTAGTAGTTTAGAAAATACCTATCAAGATAATTTATCTCTAGTCCTCAGAAACAGGAGAAATATGTTTCAAACAAGTTCGGTTCTCCATGGGGCAAAAATTCTTTCAGAATGATAGGAAACAAGAAGCAGATGTCACCCACCACGAGACAGTTTTTACATTTTCCACCCCCCAAAACCTGATGGCTCTCCCATTCGATACAAAATGACCAGGCGATTGTAGATATTGGCGTTCATTATAGACTTTCTTGGAACCTTGGGGCTAGAAGAAATTATAGAGATATAATAATCCTGAATCTCGGGGAAATCCGATATCCCGGATGTGAGCAAACTGGAAAGTAGTAACACTCTGGCTCGGCGGGGAGGAGGGCGGAGGCCTCCCTGTGCCCCAACCCCGGACTACGCTACTACCAACCAGCCTTCTACAGGGCAGGGCAGGGCAAGCTAGTCTAGCTGGATGCCACGATTAAGAAAGAGGGGCCACAAGACAAGCTAGGCTTTCCCTAGAGTCTCCAGCCGGAGCCGGAGTTAAGTTCAAGGATGATGCGTTCTCTCTGGTTACAGCCTGCTCCAAACAGACCCTGGGAGTAGGGGGTTGCAGGACTGCCTGGCAGAGAGGGTCCCAACGCGGCGGACTCCTGAGCCCGGCCGCGTTGCCAATCCGGTGCTCCTAGCTTCTCTGCACAGACTGCCTTGAGTGAATCGCTGCGCGGTTGAGGACTGCGAAATCGGATAGCTCTGGTCCCTACGCCCCGAAAGGCGCGGAGCCGGGACTGCCGACCTCTGGAAGTGAAGCACATCACTAGGCTGGAGTTTACAGGACGCTTCCTCTCCTGCCCCGGATGCAAGAAGGCTGTCCACCTCCGCAGGGTGGCCCTAAATTTAGATAGGAAGTGGTGAATTGGAATAAATGATGGGGGTGAAGAGGAAAGACTAAAGACGCAGCACCGTAAAGCAGTTTTTCTTTTCCATAGTCAATACTTTCAAGGCACCCGTAAAACATGAATTGTGATCAGGAGGATCGTCACTATTAACACTCGCGATTGATTTTCTTTGCATTACAGGTTTAGAATAAACTATAAAAATATAATTAATGTGACTCCTGGGGAAATAGGTATGCTCAGATGTAGTATTTGCCCCCCAACTCCTCTGGTGGACTACCAGCGCCCCTATTTAGTTTTGTCTTTTTTACCCCAGTACTGGGGATCCAGCTCAGGTTCCTGTATATGCTAGGCAAGTGCTCTGCCACTGAGCTATACTCCAACCCTTGCTTTCTTTTTCTAACAAAGTCGTTTGGGGAAGTGTATTTTAAGCTGAGTGGGCACTCCAGGTTTCTGATTTGTGTATTTCCCTCTGGCAAAGTTTCACTGAACCGGGGTTTCCCTAGCTTAGGCTCTCTAGGGAGTTGACTTGAGACCCGGCAGGCCAAAGGAGCCCTGGGCAAGAGTGGCTCTGCAGATCAGGCCCAATGCACCTAATTCCTACCTTAGATCCACCAGGTTCAGAACCCTTTCACCCATGAATAATTTGATTTGATTTTGGAGTGGGTTGGGGTAGGAATCCTAAAGGGTTTTTATCACACCAGCTATCATATCACCAATGCCACATATTTCAGATGATTGCTGATAGATCTATCTGCACCAGGAAAAAAAAATAAAACAGAAACATCTTATTAGCCCTCTTTATTATTAGCCTGGTGAGTGTTGTAAAGCCAGTGCTATTACAGTCAAATTCTAACCAGAAGGCACTAGGTTGGAAGACACCCATCCTGACCTCCCATGCTTGGTGTTTGTTGGCCATTCCTGGGGCCACCCCAGCTCCCTCCTCACTGCAGCAAACCCCTCCTTCGGGTAGGACAGAAGCAACCCTGTGTGTGGAAACCCATCCTTGCCTCTTTCCCTTCAATCCTTCTCACTCTCTTGCTCTTTGGCTCTTTCTCTCTCTCAGTTTGTGATAAGAGGACTGAGGTTTCTCTGGCCCAAGACCAAAAGGCAGGGATTACTGCTGAGACAGTAGTAATTTCTCACCAGACTCACCCTTTACAAAGCACCTTCACACACAGCATCTCTTGTATCCCCTGCCTCACGCAGGTCAGTATTCCTGGTTACCACTGTCACCTTCTGCAACTGACAGAAAACAGGAGCCTAGCGAATGGATGGAGAGTGCTTCAAGATTCCCCCAACCTAAGAAAGCAGAGCTAGTATTTTTCTCGATTTGATTCCAAAGAGGATACAGCACTTTTCAGGAGTTTTGTGGGCAAATACAGGGACTTGATTTGGTACCCAGAGGTGAAAACATTCAACTGAATGTCGCTGTCTCTGATTGCCTACTTCTGTGCAAGGCATAGACCAGAAGAAAGAAGAGGGCAACTAAAACAACTTCCATGGCTTCTGACTTGGGGATATCAGTAGTTCCCAAATGGGGGGTGGGCAGGGAAACATGACAGAAATCACTTACCACAGAGGGCACCCTTAGAGAATGGGCAAATTTGAACTAGATTTGCCACTTACTAGCTATGTGATCTTGGACCACTTTACTTAGTCTCTGTGCTTCAATTTCCTCATCTCTAAAACAGATTAATAATGGCACAGCTCTCAGAGGGTCCTGGTGAGGATTAACAGCTGATACATGTAAAGCACTTAAAAGCATGCCTGGCACAGGTTAGCTGTTAATATGATTTTCCCAGACCTCTGGATACAGCCTCATCCCTTCCCAGTCCTCTTGATTTTCTTTACAGAACATCACCTATTTCTGTCCCTGTACCACTGCTAGGATTTCAACCTTCCCTGGATCCCAGAATCCTATCAGGAAAGGATGGGAAAGGACAGAAAACCTTCTTACTGACTGCTAGATGGGTACTGTGTCTGAGGAATCTCTGTTTCATCCATTACATATTTCCTAATTTTTTCTCCCTCAATCCTCGTGATTCTGGGGCAGAACCCAAGGCATCACACCTGCTAGGCAAATGCTCTAACATTGAATGTCAGCACCAGCCCCCTTACTTATTTTCTGATGGGGAAAGGAGTCCCTCTACCTGTCCTTTATAATATCTGCAGAAAATGGCTGTGCGTCCTTGGCTTTAAAGAATGAGAGAGTGAGGGAAATCTCACTGACCCATCCCACCCAGGAGAGATCCTGCTCAGAGGTTGGTAGGTCTGTGCAGCAAAGAATTCTTGATGTGTTCTGGCTTCTGCCACAGGCGTGCACACACATGCACACATGAGCTCCTTGAAGGCAGGGTTCCCCCCCCCCCCACTATTTTGTTCTCTGCTGCATCCCCAATGCCTAAAACAGTGCCTGGCAGAGAATAAGCACTGAATAAATAAATATTAATTCAATGAAAGAAGGTGGGAGCATTTCATTGAGATCTGCTTTGGTAGCAGAGTCTAGTCTTAATTTAATTTTCATCAAGACTCAATGGTCAGCTGAGTGTGCTGACTGCACACTTGTTATCCCAGTGAAGCTGAAGCAGGAGGATCACAAGTTTGAGGCCAGTCTTAACAACTTAGTGAGATACTGTCTTTTTTTTTTTTCCTTTTGTGGTGCTGGGTATTGAACACAGAGCCTTGTGCATGTAAGACAAGCACTCTACCAACTGAGCTATATTCCCAGCCTGAGACAGTCTTTAAAAAAAAATAGAAAAAATAACTGGGACCAAGGAAATGTAACTCAGTGGTAAAATACCTCTGGGTTTCCAAAAAAAAAAAAAAGGCATTGATCAGAATTATGGCTAATAAAGACAATATGAACATACTTCATATTTCTTTCCTTAAGAGTCTGCTATCTTGGTCTCCAATTATCTCAATTATTCATAGGGCCATTCTTTCAACTGTACCCCTGCACACACCTGTCCCAAAGTACTTAAGGCACAGGAGGGATAAGATTTCCAGGGTTTGTATTTAAGACACTGGGCATCCACATGACCTCCTGGGGTTTGAGTTGTCTGCCCCCAAAATGGAGCTGCTGCCATTCTGTAATCTGAATTTCACTTTTTCCTCTTTTCCTCCCTCCTTACAGCATGCTTAAAGCACTCAGAGACTGATTGGTGTCATATTTTTCTTCTTTTCTGAAGGGGGGTATTATTTTTTTGAAAATGCCAAGTGACAATAACATTGTCATTAAAGGTGATTTCTATCAATATTAATGGCTGTCATTTGTGGATACATTTACAATGTCTCAGGTACCATACCAACCACAGCATCTTATTTAACCCCCACAACAAATCATAAGATCACTTTGCAAGCCCATTTTAGAGAAAAAGAAATAGAGATCTGGTAAATTACATGTTTTGAAGGGAGAGAGTCAGGAAAAAATATGGCTTGAGGGAAGTGAGCATTCAATAAATAATTTAGAAACAATGCTAGAATGTTGGCAATACAATCAGGCACAGAGTCTAAGCCAGTTCAAAGCCCACCTGCACTTTTCTTTAACTGTAAGACTGCAGGCAAGTTATACAACCCCTTTTTAAAGGGGTCCAATAACAATACCCAATTTAATTGGGTCTTTAATTTGGAGGAATTCTGGACTTAATACATATAAATAATAATCTTTTTTCTCCCAGTCTACTGTAGACTACTATTTGTACCACCCACCCTTTGCAAACCGTGGTGCCTTAAATGCCCTTATTTTACCTATCCATAAATTGGGGGACCTTAGATGAAAAACCCACCCAGGGAGGATCAGGTAAGAGCTCAGATCCAATGTTCCTAAGAGGAAGGATTTGGAACAGTCTCTGGATGATTTTACTGAAAACATTTAGATTCCATTTTTTAAAAGATGTAAGCATTTTGCTAGGCTCCTCCACCATCAGTATGTCAGTATTGCATCATTAGGAGCTTAAAGATGTGTACTAGGTAGGTCACAGCCTCCATTTTCAGTCAACTTCCTGGTGCCCCACTGAGGCTTTGCAGGCTGATCCTAGATCCCATAAAGCTCATGACACTTCAGTTGTGCCAGGTCCTCTAGAGAGCAGAGTGGTGCAGAAGCTGAGCAGCTCCCTTCTGCTGCAGGGGTGGCTTCTCCTCCTCCTCCTCCTCCTCCTCCTTCTCTTTCTCCTTCTCCTTCTTCCTATTTGCATAAAATGTTTCTCCTTTTTTAAAAAACAGAGCACAGAAAACCAGCCTTCTCTCATTGGTTCCTGCTTGTGAATGAGACCTCATATATATAATGGAAGGAGCTCATGAGAGTTGCTCCCTTTATGCTTAAGTCAAAGTAAAAGCCAAACAAATCCAAGCCCCAGTGGTTAAGTATATGTTGTATCTGCCTTTTTTAAGAAGAAGATTTTAAAATTTTTTTATTTTTTAGTTGTAGTTGGACACAATATCTTCATTTTATTTATTTTTATGTGGTGCTGAGGATCGAACCCAGGGTCTCACATGTGCTAGGCAAGCGCTCTACTGCTGAGCCACAAACCCAGCTCTGTTGTGCCTTTTTAATCATTCATCCAGAAATCATTTCATTTACTGAATATCTACAAGCACTTGGCAGTGCAGGTGACTCTCTGAAGAAGTGTCAAGAGAGGGAGAATTGTGAGGAAAATCTGAGCAGTCTCCTGGAGAAGTTACTTTCAGGGCCAAAGTTTGATCAAGAGGAGTGTATTCTTATGGGAAGGAACTTCGGTGTAGGTAAAATCCCAGAAGTGAGAAATCAGGGGAAGACACAGAGAAGGAACACAGAAAGGGAGCAGTATAGTCACATGGAATTCAGAAACCAGGTATCATGGGTGTTCGAACGTCTGTAAAGCACTAGTACACACAAGACCTCAAATCAGGCACCTGAAGAGAGAACAAGTTTGGGCCACTCAGCAGCCCTCTGTGCCCTTTCAGCTTGGCAGTGTGCTGGCTTAGGTGTAGTACAAGCTCACACTGGTACAGAATCCAGGAACCAGACAAGTAGAAACAGCAGGAGGTCCTACAATAAAACTCACCCCACTCCCTGCACTGCTACTAGGTCACAGCCCACCCTCCACCCTGCAATCACCACCATTCCCCCCCCTCCCCGCACCTTAATTTAGGTAAGAGGATAGTGGCAGGTGGAGAGGGCACAGTGGATTCCCCTAATAGCTGTGCCACACACATCCCTCCAACCCTTCTTGAACTTCAGCTAGTCTCTAACTAGGGTACCCTCCTGCTGAAATCTGAGAAAAAGCTAGGAAGCACCAGAGCCAGGAGAAACAGAAGTGGAGACCAAGAGGCTAGCCAGATGCCCTTAGAAAAGGCCGGTGATCTCCCCGGGCCTTCACTGGGCACCCTTACCCGCTGTACTCACCTTCTCAAGCCCCCAGAGTTCTGGAGTTGCAGCGCGCCCCCCGGAGGCCCAGCCCGGCGGCCCAATCTTCCAGTCGCTTCGCAGCACACTCCACTCTGCTGGGTCCGGGGCACAGAGGCCAGGACGGGGGGCGGGGCAAGAGGGGGTGCAGGCGAACCCCGCCGAGGGTTCTTACCTATACGCGGGCATCCGTCCGACCAGGTGCAGTTTGCTGCTGGGACTGCGAGGTTGGGGAGGCTCCCACGGGCTCGGATCGCGCCTCCCCCCGCCCTGAGCCCCTAGACCCTTCGGTGGCCCTGAGCGGGGTCGCCGGGACTAGGGGACAGGCGCCGAGCCGGCGGGAGGAGGCGGCTCCTGCGGGGGGCGGTGGGGTGGGGGGGGGGTATCTGCCTGGCCCCGCCAGGGAGGGGACGTGGGAGCGATTATCCCGGAGAACAAAGGCAGCCAGGGAAGGCTCGGCGCCCCCTACCCCCATCCCCCGCCCACGGGCCTGGCCCTGAACTTGAACTTGTACTTGACACTTTGTCCGGAAGGTGGCGAGGAAGCCCGTCCGAGTTGGGACGGGGCTAGTCAGTTCACCTTCCGTCTCGGGGAGGAGGCGAGCCCATCCTCCTCTGCGCCAGGAGAGAGCCGAGAATCCCCAGCCCGAGAGCGACCCAACTGCATTGGAGTGGAGGGTCCTGGGGTCCGCACGTCCCCTGCGAGAGTTTGGGTGCGGATGAGGCCCGGATCTCTAGCCCAAGGGAGTAGGCCGAGCCCTGCGCCCCTCCTTGGTCCCTGGCTCTCTTCCTATCCCCGGCCAGTCCCGCCGCCCTAGCTGCGCAGGGCAGGCCGGATTCTCTGCACGTCTCGTCGGCAGCCGCTATTCAGCCGCTAATTGAACGTTAATGGCAGGTGCGGATGAGGTCACCAGAGCTGGCTTTTCTCACACATTTTTCATGCAAATTCGCGAAACTCTAAACAAATTTGAATAAAAAGCTCTTTGTGCCTCGTGCCCCCCAGTCCTCTCTCTCCCGCCCGGGGTCCTGGCTCTCCCCGGTGCCCTGGGGCTCCAGCCTGCTGCCTCGCGGGGGGAGCCGGACGCCCTGGGCAGCGCCACCTGCCAGTCAGTGATTCGGCCCTAACCAAATTGCCTACCGGCCAGGGCTGCTGCCGAGATGAGAGGCATTTCACCCGGGGTCTAAGGGCAGGGCCAGGCTGATACTAACCGCCCTTTAGGAAGGTGGTATGCGCAGTGGTTAAGTGCCAGGTATTTGCACCGACAGACTACCTGTGTTGGCATCCTGGCTGTATCCACACCCAAACAGACCACCTTAGAATGCTTATTGGACTTCATCTCTCCATTGCGTAGGTAGGAATGAGGATAGTGCCCACTTTTTTTTTTTATTAAGGTGTGAGGATTAACTTTGATTTAAGACAAAAGCAAGCATGTAGTGCCCAACACAAGAAAATGTCAATTATTGTCTGGGGTCCAAGTGCCTTGTGAGAACGAATGCTGTGATGAAAGCATGATTGCGATTTTGCACATACATGAAAAAATTTTGTCAGGGGCTGTCAGGAAATTCATGACCCTTTACATCCTATTCTGGTCATAGAGATGAGAACTAGGACCAAATTCACCATTTTCCAGCTGTGTGACTTGGTATATTTCTTAGCCTCTCTGAGCTTCTGTTTCCTAGTCTTAAAATGAAATTGTCTTCTGCAATCATTGTTAAAATTAAATGAGAAGACACTAGTGGAGGTTTAGAAGGAGCTTGGGACTACTCTCCAATCCAGAACCAGGGCACCTATAAATTCCACCCTCAAAGCAAGGTAGGCCATGGACTTCATCTTCTTACTGAGGTGACCCTAGGTCAAGTAGACAGACTTTCCAAGGCCTAGTGAAGCTTTTTGTTCCATCCTTCCCAGGGTCCCACCACACCTCCAGACACCATGAGTTATCTTTGTAGCAGCTGAATCTTTCTTCACTAATATCCACCCAGGAAAACTCACCAGAGACATGGGAGGCTTTGCAAAGAAATTTTATTCTCCATGAACTGGTGCAAGAAGGCCAGAGGGTTCACAGGACAGGAAGAGGCTTCTTTCCCATAATTTGCCCTAGTTTTCCCTCAGGACAATTCAGATGGACCCAATGATCTTGGAGTCCTAGAAACTCAAGCACGTGGAGACCGTCTCTGCTTTCCAGTATCAGTTTCTAAGAACCCCCCACTCCCTCATATCATTGGACCAGCCTCTGAGAAGCAGTGGGGCCATCCTGGGAGCCTCCTCACCTTCCTACGAGGCTCCTTTAGGTCAAGGACCTCAAGGAAGAAGCAAAGTCTACGGGAGTATAGAAGACCAGGAGCCAGGAGACTGGGCAGCAGCAGCACTTAAGAGCAATATTAACCAACAGCCCCAATCTGAATGAGGGTCTGGAATCCGCCCCAGTGCCCAGTCTCCAAGGCTTAGCACACCCCAAGAAGAGAGATGGCATTAGGTGGAATTGAGGAAGACCCCAGGCAAGGGAGTATTTGAGGTGGCCTTGCAGGCAAAGGTTGATGTCTTTACAAGTGGATACTGGCCAGGAGAAAATATAGCTTTGGGGACCTTTTTTAAGTGACCCAATTAAACAGAATTTCTTTGGGGTTAGGAGTATAGTTTAGAGTCACTTAGTCTCAATTTTGAATCTCATTTCTGGCAATTTTTAGCTGTGTGACGAAGGACCATAATTTTTCTGATCCCCAGTGTCTTCATCTGTAAAATGAGTGTACTAATGGCACCCACAGCCCATAAAATTAAAGAGAACTCATTGGGCCAAAGCACAGTGACCTGGCACCTGACAACCTAGCCCACAGCAGTTGCTCTTAATGTTTCCTTTCTCCTTACTCTGCTTGCTGGCAGCTGATCTGGGACTACCTAGACTCCCATGGGTTTCCCAAGCCCCTCTAGGACTGCACCTCCCCAGCACCTCCTCCAGGCTATCCAGGGCCCAGTGAAGAGTGCTATATGAGCTGCTGTGTCCTGACCTGTGGCAGGACACCAACGTTTCTGGCTTTGGGGACTCCTGTGCCCTGTCACAGGCAACACTTTCCTAGCAATTTACTCTTTAGCTGGGGGAGGGGAGGTAAAGCAGGGGTGATTGATGCTGGGGTGGGCAATACAAAGGGTGCTTTTCTCTCAAGACACATGCTGTTTTTGCAAATGGTAACTTTCAGAATCCCATCCATTTGCTGCCAGCCCCAGTTAGTGTATCCTCCTTTGGGCTGCAGTAGGATGCAGACATCTTCCACTCACTGAGGTCCATGTGGTGCCACCCTGGGATGGCACCCCAGAGGTCAGTCTCCTGAGGATGGAGGGGCAATGGCTGAGAGCCTACACCACCCTTCTTGAGCCCCCATTAGATTCCTGACCTCCTACCCCTACCTGCCCAGGATTTTGGGCAAATCAACCAACCTTTCCCACAGGGTGAACTGAAAACATGACACCCACCTAAACAAGACCAAGAGAAACACCCTGGCACTTACTAGATTTTATGATTAATAGAGCCATGCTGAAGTGATCATTAGGCTCAGAAAAGTATAGTAGCTAATGTTGCCAGTGATTCTGGAATATTTTTTCCTGCAACATCACCACTATCGTCTTAATTTCCTATTCCAAGTTTGTTGATAGAAGTTAAGCCTATTAAATAGTCCCTATATTTTTCAAGAAAAGTATTTTACAAACATGAAAAGAAAATATTATTGTACAGAAGAATGCATCCTTGTATCCCCACTTCCCAGAGGTGGTTATCTAATATATATTGTCAGAAACCACTCATATATAAGCATATTTATGATTTGTTTTTTGTTTTTTTGTAGGGTTTATTTATTTATTATTATTATTATTAGGATTAAACCCAAGGGTGCTTTATCATTGAGCTTCATCCCCAGATCTTTTTATTTTTAGACAAGGTCTCAATAAGTTGCTTAGAGCCTGACTAAATTGCTAAGGCTGGCTTCCAACTATTAATCCTCCTGCCTCAATGTCTGGAGTTTCTGGAATTTATAGGCAAGCACCACTGCGCTTGGCCTTTTTTTTTTTTTTTTTTTGGTACTGGATTGGACCCAGGGTCACTTAACCACTGAGCCACATCCCCAACCTATTTTTGTGTTTTGTTTAGAGACAGAGTCTTACTGAGTTGCTTAGGGCCCCACTAAGTTGCTGAGGCTGGCTTTGAATTCTCGATCCCCCTGCCTCAGCCTCTTGAGCTGCTGGGATTATAGGTGTGCACCACCACACCCAGCTGGCCTCTGATTTTTAAATGTACACAAATAAGATCATATTCTATTGCCTATTCTGCAGTTTATTCTATTTACCCTATAATATATACTAGCCAACATTCCATATGGGTTTGTCAATAGAGATCTTACCACATGGACTTTTACAACTGCATAGTACTCCACTGTATGAAAGGACCCATTGGTTATTTCTATTTCTTTACACTGTAAAGAAGAAATGATCCCATAAACACCCTTGTACATACCTCTTTGGGAAGTTTTACAAATATACCCATAAGGTAAATTCCTAATAGTGCAATATATTTGTGTTCAAGTATATATGCCTTTTATATTTTTCCCCAGTACTGAAGATTAGATCCAGGAGTGCTGAGATAGACCCCCCAGCCCTTTTAATTATTATTATTATTATTATTATTTGGTGCTGGGGATTGAACCCAGGGCCTTGTGCATGAAAGCCCTCTTTTTAATTTTTTGAGATGGGGTCTTCTTAAGTTGCCGATGCTGGCCTTGAACTTGCAATCCTCCTGCCTGAGCTTCCTGAGTTGCTGGAATTACAGGCCTGCACTACTGCCTTTTATTTTTTGATACTGCTACATTTTAGAAAATATACTTCCTAAAAACAGCATTGAAGAGTGTCTTTAAATAGACACACAATGTTACAGAAATATAGCAGCCAGCCAGGGAGATAAATGTATACCTGGAGCCCAGTGAGAATGGCATTGCACTGAATGTTGTCCTTAGGGCAGTGCCCAGTAGTCTCTTCCCATCCAGGCCTATGCAGGCTGGTGGCCCAGAGTGGCTGGAGTCACAAGCAGAATGTGCCTACAGGGGCTGTGGGAGTGGAAGGCAGGCCAGAGTGGCTGGGGTCCCGCCTGAATGATTTCCTGAAGCCATTGTCTCTATCCTGCCTGGTCTCCTTGAGGGGAGTTTATTCAGGGGTCTATGGAGAGGGGGTTGGGCAAGAGGAGGGTGTGTAGTCCTCTCCAAAGGCACCCAGGAATGTATCAGAGGAGGGAGAGAGAGAGGAAGGGGGAACCCATCCCTGGAGAGACAGGACGTCAAGAACCCCTGACTAATGAATAGCGAGTTTGCCCTTGAACCTCACTGGGCTTTGCCATTCTCAGGCACAGACAAGAGCCGAGACAAGTCTGAGCCCAGCTGCACAGGGACAGTGGCGGTTCATCTCAGACACTTTGACAGGCTGGGCCTTTTCCCTGCATAGCTCAGATCTGCCTCTGGGCTCCCCTGGCAACAGCACAGCAGCATGGCTCCCGGGTCCAGGCCGAGCCTGCTGTGAGCAGGAGGGAGGAAGAGGAGCACCAAAGGGAGGACAGCTGGGGAGAAGGAGTCATTAACTCCTAGAAGGCTGGAGCCTCTGCTTTGGCAACTTCCCAGCACACTGCCTCCAGTCCTTTGGGGTGAAAATGCAGATGGTATAGAGCTTCCATTTACCAGAGGCCTGGCCAGAATGTTTCAGGGTGAACAGGCCTGATAGGATGTGATAAGGGCAGAAATGGTAGAGGACATACTAGGCCAATAGGTCAAAAGCAAAGACCCCACAAAAGGGTTGGGTCATATTCCCCAGGTCTCTTGGCAAGTCCCAGACAAGCAGGATTGCCTGGGATTCCTCCATTCTTGCCTCCAACTTTTACAGCCTAAAGCGGTAGCTGACTCTTTTCTTCCTGCTCAGATTTTCTCCTTCTGATGATCTTCTATGACCTGAGGCAGTTTGGCTCCATATTCCAATCCTGCGACCTTGGCAAGAGTCACCATTCCTCTCTGTCTCCATTTCCATAAAAACTGAAAAGAGGCTGTACCATCACTTTACTTCACAGGACAATCTAAAGATAAGAGAAATAGTATGTGAGAACTCTGGGGACGAAGGTGTCCTATAAATCTCATTCAGGTATTATTAGGGCTGAAACTAGGTATTTCTGCTCCCTGGGGAAGGAGGGTGGTGGGCAGGGGAGGAGTCCTTCCAGGGTCGTTTCAGGACCTCCCCAGCAGAGCAGTCCTGAAGATGGAAGGCAGGAGGAGGTCAGAAAAGTTCTGGGCTTGTGTCTGTGACCTCTGAATTCAGTTAGGCTTAGGAGATAAGGGAGAACAATCCTGTCATTTCAAGGTACTATCTCTGTGTTAGTTCTGTCTTGCTGCAACTTTATGAGAAAGATGTGATTATCTTTTTTAGAACTAAGGAAACAGAGTCTTAAAGAGGTTGAATTCCTGGCCCAGGGTCACCCCAGTATCCAAAAATCCTGAGCCCACATCCACCTTACTCCATGAGCCACTGAGCTGTACTGGTGGCAGAGCCATCTGGTTGGGGGTACTGGGGACCAAAAAGTAGTATTGTCCCTACAGATTACTTCACAAGGTTTGGGGCTTCTGAGTCTGAAGGCCCTGACCCAGGGAAAGTCCCAAGGATAATGCAAACATACCTGGAGGGTCACTCAGGAAAACACTATTCAAAGCATGTAGAACCAGAAGAGAAGGCAAAGACATCCCAATTCGAGGCTGAGAATGAGAACACATCTAGCTGAGACATGCTTTCTGGCCAAAGCCTTGTTTCAAGACAGATCACATATTAGTCTCATAGCACTTGCCAGCAGTGAGGTGGGCTTTCATTTTTGTAGCCTCTGGGTAAAGGTGCCTCCTCCATCCCAGTGCAGCTTGAAGGAGATGATGCAGGCTGAGTTCCCTGTGAGCTGGGTAGGGCCATGACGGGAGGGTTACTGGCAGGTAACAAAGTAGAAAACCTAGGAAGAACTCCAAAGTATAATATGCAGTGGTTCAAGGACCTCAGATACCATCTTATCCAATGCTCCTTTTCCAGGTTCAGAAAGAGAGGTAGCTAGCCCAAGACCACTCAGTAGGAAGGTGGGCCGGAGCTCAAGTCTCTGACTTCTAGCCACGTGGGGCAATGTCTTTCTATGCTCTTGTTTCCTTACTCACCCACCTTAGGCCCTCAAAGGCAGAGATTTTACCCCATAAGGCAAAGAGAAAGACCAAGTAGAAGCAGCCACCGTTGGCAAAGAACACATATCTAGGGGTGGCCTGGGGTTGGGGCAGATGCTGCCTGAGGTCAAAAGATTTCTTCAGTGACAAAAGAGGGCTGTACACTACCCCTAATATCACATGCTCACACTCTGCAGCCAGACACAGAAACCACTGTGTCTGGCTGCAGACCACCTCCCTTGGCTAAGGAAGAAACAGAGACATGGGGAAGTGATCCAGATGCACTCTGAATCCCGACCCACAATGTTTTTAAGAAAAGACATGAGGAAGCAAGAGCTCCAGAAAAAACTTACCCCCACAGAAACTGGTGGCAGCTCTGCAGCCATCATGGAGCCTGGAGCTACGAAGGACCTTGGTTCACTGCCCTCTGCCAAGTCAGGCTGGGTACCCCGTGCCAGGAAGGTCTGACCTGCTCAGAATGCAGAGGAGATCCCTGGATCCCACATTCTGTGACCTAGTCAGGAACGGCCCTCCAGGGATGTCTGTATACTTGCTGATGAACAGACACATGATGGAGCAGAAAGACACAAAGACAAATGAACTTATTTCAGCCCAGCTGTGCCCTCCTCTCTGAGCTGATGGTTTGGACCAGCTGCCATTCTGACTAGTTGGTGCCCAGGCTGTACCAGAGATTAAATATTCTGAATATAACTACTGTCCCCACCCTACCCCCAAACCACAGATATACTAAATGACCTTTAGAAATTCACCTCCTTCATATCTGCCCTATATCTCAGGGAAAGAGTGAAGTAATATTAACCCGATTTAGTGGTATCCATGTATCTGACACTCCTCACAGCAACTCCATAGGTAAAAACAATTCCCATTTTTCAGATGAGGGTATAGAGGCTCTGAGACATATACTGCACAGTAATTCTGGGTTGGGTCTTGCCCACAGCACCTCTTCCTCCCCAGCCAAAGTTTTGGGCCTGAGCTACCATCATCTTGCTGGGATAAGCCTTAGAATCATGTGGGCTTTCATTCTGCATCCTAGCCTCAATTTCGGAACTCCTTGGGTTCTCTAAGGATAGCTCCGTCTAATAAGGAAGGCATACTATACAGCAGTCTCACTTAGTTCTAGAATAAATCTCCATCCCCTGATCACCTTGACAGCATTTTTCTAGCTGACCTGGGGAATGAATACCTGCAATGTACAAATGATTTCTAGCTGGGATTGGCAGCCAGTGGATTTGAGCACTTGGGCAAGGTTGGGGGCAGCTACCAAACAATAAAACCTCAGCCATGCAGAAAGGGCTGGAAAGCCTTAATCTTGGAAACTTTCCTCCTGAGGAACAAAGAGCAAGGTGACGCCCAACTGCAAGCAGGGCCTGAGTCCCAGCCCTCTACCAGGCACCACTCATGCTGGGTCTAGCCCAGCTGGGGCTGCTGCTTCTGGAAGGGAGAGCCGGGCTTGGAATGTGATTCCCAGGCTTTGTGTGATACTCAGTGACGCTCCGTTAGCAGAGTGCGACTCCTAAGATCCCCTGTTACCTCCTAAAGCCTCTGCCAGCCCGCCCCCCAGCACTGCACTGATCACCAGATTAAGGAGCTCAGAGCTACAGCTGAGGCAGCTAAGACCTTGGTCGGGGACAGGGAGGACAGGTGACAGATCCTCTAAGGCCCTGCCTCTTCTCCCCCACCCCTACTGTGGTCATTTCTCTCATTATATCTAACCTCTCTGCTCTTCATCAAGCTTTAGACTTCATTGCCAGATACCCAGCTTGAGTGAGGAGCAACCCAAGGACAGAGGTAATAGGGCAAAGAAAGAGGCCCCCAGAACCCAAAGAAGAAAGATGGGGAGAGGCAGAGAGGGGAGAGATGGCCAGGTTGAGAGGAGTGAATGCGCTGCTTGTGGACAACTGGATGGAGCAATGAGGGGAGGGTACTACCCACCACAGAGAAGTCCTGGGGCCTGCCTCCCCTGCTGGCCCAGTGACTACCTACAGTTAATCTTGGAACTTCCTGTGGGTTCCTCTAGCCAGCTGCTGGCTCTAGAGCAAAGTATATCCCACCACATCTGAGAAGGTAGGGAAGGGAAGACCAGAGATGGGGGAGGTTGACAAAGGGACAGGAGAGAAAACCCAGCTTTTGAAGCTTTTCTCTAAGATCCCAACATTTTCAGAACCAGAGGCACTTTAACTCATTTAAAACACATACATAGTAGCCAGGCATGGTGGCACACACCTGTAATCCCAGCTATGAGCAGGAGGATCACAAGTTTGATAGTTTGGTCAACTTAGTGAGATCCTATACCAAAATAAAGCAGGGAGTATGTAGCTCAGTAGTAGATGCTTGCCTCACATGTACAAGCCTCTGCGTTCCCTACAGCACACACAGAGAATAAATTAAGTTCCCTTCTGTCTATAGGAGTTACCCTGGGGATGAAGCTCAGTAGTAAAGCGCCTTGGGTTCAATTCCCATTAACAACAACAACAACAAAAGGACTGGAAGCTTTGGCATACAACATTTTGGACTGTAAGTAATCCCAGGCTTAGGCTTCCAATTAATCTAGAGGCTGTGTGAACAAGAGGGCAAGGCCAGCAGGGCTGAGTAGCAGGGAAAGACCAGCAAAGAGTTAGGAATCAAATGCCCTGGCCACTGAATCCTGAGTCCTTGCACCTGAACAAGAAGAACAATGTTCCACCCCTGCCCCTCACTCCCTGAGTTACTGTAAGGGGCTGTAGAGGTAGAGAGATTCTGAATGCATTAGCTGGGAAGTTGTCTGGGAGGTCTGGCTCAGCTCAGCTTTGGCAGGCATCCCTGTCCCCCATCCCAGGGCCTGCAGGGGGCGACTGGGACACACCCAGGGCCCTGGACAGCAGCTGCTCTCCCTTTAGCTTCTCCTGTGTGGCCACTGCCTTTAGCTCCCTTCAGCTGGGCAAGAGCTTGTTTCTCACCACTGTAGCATAAGGGCAGGACAAGAAGGGCTCATGCTGCAGAGGGAGGTTTGTAAGAACCTGAAGATAAGCCTTGTCTGCTCCTGATCCTCCATCTATTCTGAAAACACAGGCCCACACTAGAGGAATGAAATCCTTCCCGCAATACTCACTATCACCTCTAGCCAGAATTCACTGTCCCTCCTTCACCATGTAAATCAGAGAGCGCTAAATCAAACACAGGTTTGAAAGAATCACCACCATCACAGACTTTTTGGGCCAGGAGGGAACCAAGAGATTCCTGAAGTTCAACTCAATCATCTCACCAATGGAAAAAACCGAGATTCAGAGGTTTGGGGATGTGGCCTGCCTGAGGTCACAGAGTGGTAAGGCCACCCCTTGTGCCCTGTGTACCAGACCCCTTTCTTTTCAGGCCAGACCTCTCCAAAAGCTTAAAGGCAGGCTTCTCCATCATATCCCAAACAATCCCAAACAAGATCCTGGCCCACCACGGGTGGCATGGGTCTGGGGACATGGGAGGTCGTAATGCGATAAGCAGACTGGCCATCTGGCTCGGGTACAGAGGAGAGCCCAGACTGGCCGCTTCTGCTGTCCTGTCCCAAGGGGCCCTGTGTCGCGAGAGACAGACCGCCAGATGGATAGGCACTGGCCAGGGTCTGGGTAGAAGCCAGTGAGTTCCCTATAGTCAGAGCTGACCAACTTTCAGATGTGCAGGGGTAGGATGGGAGGGGGCTCAGGGAATAAAGTCAGCCCCTACCCCAAGGGCAGAAAAACAGAGCAAGAAGATGGGGGATCTGAGATTCTCAAACCAATCTCAGAGTCTGGCTCCCCAGGTAGGCCCAGCTTTGCTCAGCTCCACAGCCCCCAGCCTGCTGGCCAGCTACAAACAGGGCCCCCTCCCCGGGAAAGGCAAACACATCTCCCCTGGCACCTTCTCAGACATGCATGCAAAACTAATTAACATGGGGAGACATGTGAGCAGCCGGCCAGCTCCACACCCTCGAGTCCACGCAAACAAGGCAAGCCCTTGTCCGGGGGACCTGCACAAAGCTTTGTTGCTAATTTAGGCATCTGTCTCTGTCTGGTCTGGTCCTCCTGCCTGCGCTGGGGTTTTTCCCAGCCCCTTGGACAATGCTGGGAACAGGCCCGCAGATCCCTTATTCAAATCACACCCAGGACAATGAGCTCATTGTGCAGACCACAGAAAGGGGGATGCTGGGGGGTGGGATTGTGTAAGGGGCATCAGGGAGTGGAGAAGGGTGGGGGGGGTGAAGAAAATGGGAACCCAGGAAAGTGTTTACTAACACAGCCCCTGCAGCTGCCTTGGGCCCCTTTCCCCTCCCCTGCCTGACTGGGAGCTGGGGAGAAGTCCTGGGACTCAGAGATAGGGGGCCCAGAGTCCATGAGAGAACTCATATTTATTGGCCATTTGATACAAACTGTGGCTCAAATCTTTGTCCTATTGGCCTCTCCTATCTTCAACAGTCTACAGCTACCTCTGCATGACCAAGGGCTGGAATAGTTTTTATAGAATACTTTAAAATTCTTTTTTTTTTTTTCTTATTTCAGGCTTAGCAGAATAAAGCGCAGACCCAACTGCAGAGGAGGAGGCAGGGTTAGGGGGAGAGGTGTTGGCGGCTGTGCAGGGTGGAACCTGCTGTCTAGGCCATTGTCTTCAGGCAACGTTTCATTTTCTCCTCCTTCCCAGCTAATAAATTAGAAAGGAGACGTGAGCTGCGAAGGGACAGGCTCCCCATGGACGAAAGGCGGGCAGGAAGGCAAGTCTGTGAGCTCATGGCAGATGGGGCTCACCCAGTCAGGCAGCTTCTCATACACCTGGCCAGCCACTTGAATGCAGCCCCATATAATGAGAAGCATGGCAAAACCCCCATACATATACATATATGTATATGTATGGCCCCCTCCCCGGGAAAGGCAAACACATCATGATGGCCCCCCAAGGGGGAGAGTTGGGGCTTTGAAATGTCTTGCTTATTACCAACACCGCTCTCCAGCTCCTTGTTTTACTGAGCTGCCATAAAGAGATACTCACAGCCTTATTCTCTCTCTCTCTCTCTCTCTCTCTCTCACACACACACATACTAACAGTCCCAGACATATAGACTGATGATAGTGTAAAGAATGTGGGACTACAAGTGCAATCAGTATAAAGCTCACACTGCTGGCTTCCCCACACTGGGCAGAAATTTCATATGGGTCAACCTAATAGTCACCCTGAGGTGGCTAAAAGGTTATGGTGTGGCTGTTGCCAACACTTCAGCAACTTTCTCCCCTTACAGCACCGCATGGCAGCACACCACACCATCCCCAGGACGGCTGCTGGTGTAGGAGGTGAAGTAATATCCCATTCAGGAAGAATGCCAGATGGAAGCAAATACCTCCAAGACAAAAAAAGTTTGGAACTGGTCTCAGTCCTTAGTCAGGGTAAGGTTGGCTGAGCTAGCCAGATTTTTTTTTTTTTAATAATGAAAAAAAGGGTACTCAAACATCATCTTAATTGTCTTGTGTCACAAGATGACATTTCATGAAGTTGAGGCAATGTGGACCCTTGCTGGGGTAACTGTTTCTTGCAGTACAACCCACAGGTTGCCACGATTCCTTCTACTGTTAAAATAATTCAGAGAATGATATTGAAGGATGAAGATGAACACAAATGATTAAAATCTCAGGGACCCCTTAAAATGGGCACCTTCCCAGAGTAATGGAAATGTACTAGGTTGAACTATATGAAACAATCAATACTTAAATGTTTTTGAACAACAACAACAAAAAATTCATATGGGTCAACCTAATAGGAAACTGGTTCTAAGAAGCAGGGTTATTGCTCTTTTTGTTTTTAAAATTTGCTTGTTGTTATTATTTTGAGATAGGGTCTTGCTATGTTTCCCAGGCTAACCTCAACTCCTGGGCTCAAGTGATCCTCTTGACTCAGCCTCCAGAGTAGCTGGGACTAAAGGCCTGTCTCCAAGCCCAATTTTCATTTTATAATGTCCTCCCCAAACTAAGTTTTTTTTCTTCCAAAAGAAGAAAAAAATAACAGTAATCCAAGACCCAAATCTGGCTTGGACTATCCATCTGTAGCCACATCAATACATTGCACAGAGAAATGAGAAATGCTACTAGAAAGAACTGTGAATACACACTTGTGGTCCAAAGATGACCCACCTTTGGACTCTTGCCATAGTGCTCCTCCTTCTCTCTTCTCTGTCTTCTGAATCTGGAAAAGAGGGCACATGAGAGGGAGAAGAGAATAGGGAGAAGGACAATCTTGCACTGGTTCCTCTAGCTCAGGAGTCTATGTACCACTGCCCCGTGACTGAAACACATGCTGTCAACTGGTTGCCACAGTTAAATCCAAAGCCAATCTGTGTGCACGTGTCATTCATTCAGTGAACCATGGGCAGGAGGTCTCAGCAAGGGAAGTAGAAGAGAGCTAAGCTACCTTGTATAGAGAAGGCTCACCCGTAGCCAGCATTTGGACACTCATTTGTATCACTGCTCATTGTCACAGAATCCAAGAATATATATTGTCTTTCTGGAAGTCACCCTCACTAGACTCTGTGGGGTTTCCCAGAGAAGAAAAGGTCAAAGGTTTCAGAAGCAGAGTCCAGACTACTATGTCTTCCTACTTGCTACTCACCTGCTTACAGTCTGTTCCATGTATGTTCATCTTGCCCACGGATAGAAGCTGATCAGTCCATAATGAAGCTGAGGGAAGGACAATTCCCTCAGATAGAAGCTGATCAGTCCATAATGAAGCTGAGGGAAGGACAATTCCCTCAGATTCTCTTTTTGGCTAAAACTCTGTGGTTCCTTTCAAAGGTCTGGAACCACTTTCCATGTTGCCAGAAGTGATGCCTTAACCAATGCTATGTAATGATGTCCAAGTGTTTTATCTTACTAACACACACACACATCAACCTCAACAATGAAACCATCAAAATAGTAGTAATAGTACTACTAATAGTAGTAGTGGTAGTAATAGTAATGGTAACAAACCCATTTACCCTTCCTGCTCCTGTAAGGCAAGTAATAAAATGGCAGACCCAGCATTGGGGCTTTAGAACTAGTGGATTCATTTGCAGGACTGCGCCCCAACCCACGGACTACATGGAAAACTCTAAAACTCCAGTTGTGTGGACAGAAGGCAGGTGGGGGCCTACTATTGCCAACTTATGTGCAGGCCTGCTTACAAAGAATTGTACCAGAGTCCAGCCTGAATAGAACTGGGGTAAAATTCTAGTCTTGGTTTTCCAAACAGCATCTGATTTCTTCTAAGGAGAAGAAACCTTCAGTGTATGAATCCATCCAAAGGTGATTGTATTTTAGATGTTTTCTACCTGTCTCACATATAAATCTCATTAGATTACTGATATTCTGATTCTTTTTTTTTTTTAAGAGAGAGTGGGAGAGAGAGAGAGAGAGAGAGAGAGAATTTTTAATATTTATTTTTTAGTTCTCGGCAGACACAACGTCTTTGTTTGTATGTGGTGCTGAGGATCGAACCCGGGCCACATGCATGCTAGGCGCGCGTGCTACCGCTTGAGCCACATCCCCAGCCCCCTGATATTCTGATTCTTAAGATCAAAGTTGGGCAGAGATGTAGTTCAGTGGTAAGGTGCTTACCAAGCATGTGTGAGATCCTGGGTTTAATCCCCAGGGGGAAAAATGTTTTTAAATGAAGAAAGGGAAAGTATATAGAATTGGCAAGATCTAGAGAATTAAAGTTTTAGCTGAAGCTAAGCAACAGTGTAAGGTCACAATGGGAAGAGCATGAAATGGCCTCTGACCCTGTTCTCCCAGGCTCTTGGGGCATGAAGAGGGGCAGGGAAGGCAAGAAGTCCACAAACTGATGATAACTGTCACACCCCCCAGTGCCTGCTAACCCAGCTTTCCTGTTCTGGATGAATATATGAAATTCTATATTACAGCTAAAGTGCTGGACCAGGGACTGTGGTTTCCTCCTCTGTGTCCCCAAGGCTTTGCCTGACACATAATGTGCAGTCAATAAACGTTGAATGAATAAATGAGTGTGGTAGAAAAAATACAATGTGGCATGGGAAGACTTCCAATTCTTAAGCTCCATGGTTCTCTTGCAAACGGGGAAATGGCTCTCTGGCCCAGTCTGGACCTACTGTCCAGACCAAGAGCCATGAGGTGACAGGCCTAAGGTGGGTGTGCCTACTCAGCTCCAGCTGACTTGAGTGGCTTAGGGCCTGGGCATCCTCCATGCCCACCCATCTTGCATATGGTGACTGATTCCCTTAGTTGGCTCCCTACCTTGTCATTTTCAGTCTCAACCATCTGACCTGATATTCTGCACCTAAATCTCAAAAGCAGTCCATCAGGTCTCCTCCCTGGCACTCTACTCTGACGTCTGAACCTGGTCAGACGTCTGAACTCTGGTCAGGGAGTTTTCCTCCCAGTGGAGATCCTCTGTCCCGCTCTCTTGACAATGTGGAAGATCTTAGTAGATATAGGGAGTCAAACTGATGCCTCCACCTTAACTCCTAGGGCCTGAATCAAAACAATCTACCCCTGAATCTATGCATCCCACTAGTTTCTCTGTTCCTAGAGAGTAGAGAGCAGGTCAAGGCTTCTACCTGCACCAGAGTTTACCCAGGGTCAATAAACACCATGACTGAGCTGGGTCCCTTGCCCACTCACTTCCAGGGCCTTTACTCTATGACACACCAGTGAGATAGAGAATTCAAACTGGAGGTTCTTTCATTTTAGGGGGAAGGGGCAGTGCTAGAGATCAAACCCAGGGTCTTAACTATTCTAGGCAAATGTTCTGCCACTGAGCCAGATTCCTAACCCAAAGTGATATTTCTTGAGTGCTACAAGGTAAGTATTACTATCCCTAACTTTGCTCAAACTGGCTCAGAAAGGAGAATTAGTGTGCCCATGGGTTCTCATATAGGCCAGAGAGACCCCAGAGCCTGTCGCCCTTTGAACCACACTACCTCTGCTTCACACTCCTGTGATCTCTGAGTCCGTGATTCAACAATAGAAAAGAGTGGACTAAAATGGGATACAGGAAGATGTAAGCTCAAAGGGCAAGGGTGGCTGTAAACTTCAAATTCCCTTTTTTACTTTCCCTCTCCCCAGCAGTTGTCAAAGAAATGATGTACCTTCAGAGCACTGGCCACCTCTCCTGACCCAGAGAGATAGCAGGTACTGTGCTGCCAAACTGGGCAAATGAAAAGAGGCCTGGCATTCTCTGCTGAAGTACAAGACAAGATGGGACAGGGACCACTTTTCCTCCTCCAGAGGACAGTGGGTGTTACCTCAGGGGGCAGAGCATTGCAGAAAATAAAGGCCAAGCTCCCCCTGAGAAGCCATACTCCATTGGCATCATAGACAGGCTGGCAGACTTGGGCCTCCCCATATTTTACAAAGTAAGGTGCAACAAGGCTAGGGTGCACATTGACGATGAGGAGACGGGTCAGGACTGGGTGGAATGCTTCCTACTCCTCCAAGGCTCCCTGGAACGCAGCACTGAGCTTTCCCATCTGGATTCTCTAGATATACTGCCACCTTGAAGTAAGAGATAATGTAGAGGCACTTTCTAGCAACCGAGTGAACTCATGCTGCTTCCCAAAGCCTCTGGGAAATAAGAACCCACTGAGACCTAAAATGCCCTTCTACCTAAGAACTATAGCTTTTGAGACATACCCCATGCAAAACACCCAAATGACACTGGCTTAGAAAAGTACAGAACCTAGATTATATTTACAACTCTTTCTTCTCCCCAAGAGCCAAGTCTCAAAGAAGACATGTATGCAAAGTGTTAGCACAGAGCAAAGGTTCTCAGGAAAGAGACCCTATAACCATCATCATGACTCATCATGCTCTCCTGGCTGCCAATTCCTCACCTCTTGTAAGGAGCCTGCTTTTCAAAGATTCATGAATTACTGGAGCTAAAAGACCCTTAACCCAGTCCAGGGTGTCCCAGGCAGGAAATGAACTTCTGGGTGGGGCAGGAGGCTGGAGGCAAGACTGGCCCCACAGCCTGGAGTGCTTTGAGTTCTGAAGGCTGAGCGAGGCCCCTCTGCCCAGTGTCTCCCCAGAAAAATCTCTCTGAAAACCTGAGGCCTGGCAGGGAGCCAGGACAGGAGGCCTCTCCAAGAAGATTCTGGCTCTAAGCCAAGGTGCATCCCAGAAGCTCCAGTTCACACTGAACAGCAGAAGCTGAGGGAGGAGGGGCAGCCAGGAGAGAGCCAGCCAGGAACCCTCCAGCCAAAGGAAACCTGCTGGCTGAAAGGGGGTTTGTCATGAACCTGGATGCACTTCCCTGGGGTTCCTGCACATCTGGGTGCCTATAAAATTGCTGTTGGGTTTGTGGAGGAGCCATTTTATCACCTATTACTGCACCCATTCTTTTTTTTTTTTTTAAAGAGAGAGAGAGAGGAGAGAGAGAGAGAGAGAGAATTTTGGGATAGAGAGAATTTTTAATATTTATTTTTTAGTTCTTGGTGGACACAACATCTTTGTTGGTATGTGGTGCTGAGGATCGAACCCAGGCCACACGCATGCCAGGCGAGCGCGCTACCTCTTGAGCCACATCCCCAGCCCCATTACTGCACCCATTCAAACCCCATTAGGGCATAGCTAAGCCTTCATTCAAAGGCTTTTCTGGGGGTTACTCACTGGCTCTTTTACCCCTACCCTAAATGCTGAAAAACACACTGTTGCCTGCAGATTCAGGCCTTAACTTCTGCCTCCGAGGACTAGGGGGTAATCCCCATTTAGAAAGCTGTCAAAAGCCTATCAACCAAGAAAAGCCCAGGATCAGATGAATTCTCAGCCAAGTTCCACAAGACTTTCAAAGAAGAATTAATACCAATACTCCTCAAAGTATTCCATGAAATAGAAAAGAAGGGAACCCTTCCAAACTCATTCTATGAGGCTAATATCACCCTGATACCAAAACCAGACAAAGACACATCAAGGAAAGAAAACTTCAGACCAACATCCCTGATGAACATAGACACAAAAATTCTCAATAAAATTCTGACAAATAGCATACAAAAACATATTTAAAAGATAGTGCACCATGATCAAGTGGGACTCATCCAAGGGATGCTGGGCTGGTTCAACATATGGAAATCAATAAATGTAATTCATCATATTAATAGACTTAAAAACAAGAATCATATGAGCATCTCAAAAGATGCAGAAAAAACATATGACAAAATACAGCACACCTCTATGTTCAAAACAATAGAAAAACTAGGGATAGTAGGAACATACCTCAACATTGTAAAAGCTATATATGCTAAACCAAGGCCAGCATCATCCTAATTGAAGAAAAGTTGAAAGCATTCCCGCTAAAAACTGGAACAAGGGTGTCCTCTTTCACCACTTCTATTCAACATCATCCTTGAAACTCTAGCCAGAGCAATTAGACAAAAGAAAAAAATTCAAGGAATACAAATAGGTAAAGAAGAACTCAAACTATCACTATTTGCTAATGACATGATTCTATATCTAGAAGATCCAAAAAATTCCACCAGAAAACTTCTAGAACTAATAAATGAATTTGGTAAAGTAGCAGAATATAAAATCAACATCCATAAATCAAATGCATTCCTGTACATCAGCAATGAATCCACTGAAAGAGAAATTAGGAAAACTACTTCATTCACAATAGCCTCAAAAAGACAATCACCTGGGAATAAAAAGAGGTAAATAAAAGACCTCTACAATGAAAACTACAGAACACTAAAGAAAGAAATTGAAGAAAACCTCAGAAGATGGAAAGATCTCCCATGCTCCTGGATAGGCAGAATTAATTTTGTCAAAATGGCCATACTAACAAAAGCATTATACAGATTTAGTGCAATTCTTATTAAAATCCCAATGACTTGGGCTGGGGACATAGCTCAGTTGGTAGAGTGCTTGCCTTGCATGCACAAGGCCCTGGGTTCAATCCCCAGCACCACACACACACACACACAAAAAAAAAAATCCCAATGACATTCTTCATAGAAATAGAAAAAAGCAATCAAGAAATTTATTTGGAAAAATAAGAGACCCAGAATAGCTAAAGCAATCCTTAGCAAGAAAAGTGAAACAGGTGGCATCACAATACCAGACTTTAAACTATACTACAGAGCTATAGTAACAAAAACAGCATGGTATTGACACCAAAATAGACCTGTAGACTAATGGTACAGAATAGAAGACACAGAGACAAACCCACATAAATAATGTTATCTCATACTAGACAAGGGTGCCAAAAACATTCACTGGAGAAAAGATAGCCTATTCAACAAATGGTGCTGGCAAAACTGGAAATCCATATGTAGCAAAATGAAATTAAATCTCTATCTCTCACCCTGCACAAAAATCAACTCAAAGTAGATCAAAGACTTAGGCATTAGAACAGAGACCCTGCACCTAATAGAAGAAAAAATAGGCCCAAATCTTCACCATGGGGTCAGCCTAAAATCTGATTTCCTTAACATGACTCCTAAAGTGCAAGAAATAAAATCAAGAATCAATAAATGGGATGGAGGGGCTGGGGTTGTGGCTCAACAGTAGAGTACTCACCTAGCACGTGCGAGGCCCTGAGTTCCATCCTCAGCACCATATAAGAATAAATAAATAAAATAAAGGTATTGTGTCCAACTACAACTAAAAAATAAATACTTAAAAAATAAAATAAATGGAATGGATTCAAATTAAAAAGTTTCTTCTCAGCAAAGGAAACAATAACATGAGGAGAGAGCCTACAGATTGGGAGAAAATATTTACCACATGTACCTCCGATAAAGCATTAGTCTCTAGGATATATAAAAAACTCAAAAAACTTAACACCAAATAAACAAATAACCCAATCAATAAATGGGCTAAGATACTGAACAGATATACCACAAAAGAAGAAACACAATACAATTGATCAACAAATATATGAAAACGTGTTCAATATCTCTAGCAATTAAAAAAATGCAAATCAAAACTACTCTAAGATTGCATCTCACTCCTGTCAGAATGGCAATCATCAATAATACAGGTAACAATAAATGTTGTCAAGGATGTGGTGAAAAGGGTACACTCATACATTGCTAGTGGGACTGCAAACTGGTGCAACCACTATGGAAAGCAGTATGGAGATTCCTCAGAACACTGGGAATGGAACCACCATTTGACCCACCTATCCCACTCCTTGGTTTATACACAAAGGACTTAAAATCAGAATACTATAGTGATGCAGCCACATCAATGTTTATAGCAGCTCAGTTCACAATAGATAGACTATGGAACCAATCTCAATAGATGAATGGATAAATAAAATATGGTATATATACTCAATGGAATATTACTCAGCTTTAAAGAAAGTGAAATTATGGCATTTGCCAGTAAATCGTTGGAGAATATCATGCTAAGTGAAATAAGCCAATCCCACAAATCCAAAGGTTTTTTTTAATATGCAGATGCTAATTCACAATAATGGGGGGGGGCACTAGGGAAGAACAGCATTACCTTAGATTAGGTAGAGGGAAGTGATGGGAGGGAAGGGAAGGGGAAGTGGGGATAGGAAAGATAGTAGAATGAAACAGACATTATTACTGTATATGTATATATGTGACTACATGACCAATGAGTCAGCAACCTGTACACTCCAAAAAATGAAAAATTATATTCCATCTATGTATGATATATTAAAGTGCATAAATACAAAATAAATGAATAAAAATAAATGCGTGTTGCTTAAAAAAAAAAAAAAGGCTGTTCTAGGCACTCCAAAAGGCCCCTGAGGCCTAAGGCTTTTTACCTGCCACCACCCTGGCTTTTCCATGGCCCTTTATGCACAGACCTCTCTGTGGACAGAGGTATATAACTTTAAATGTTCTAGAAACTTCATTAAATGGTAAGAGAGGGCTGAGATATAGGTTAGTGGTAGAACACCTGCCCAACATATGTGAGGCCCTGAGTGTGATTTCCAGCATATGGAAGGGGTGGGGGAAATGAAAATGAAGAAATATGTAAGCCCCCAACCCATAATGAAAATTAAATACAGGGGTGCAGTATCACTGAACCACATCCATAGACCTTGCTAAAAGACAAGGTCTTGGTAAGTTGCCCAGGCTAATCTCAAACTTGTGCTCCCGCCTCAGCTTCCCTATAGCTAGAATTATAACCATACCTCACTGCACCCAGATGAAATGGGTAATTTTAATAATATATCTTACTTAACCCAATATTATCATTTCAGTAAGTTGCATGACTACATTTCATGAGATCAACAGCACATATGTGATGGGCATCAAATGGATAGCACTGCTCTCTCTCTCCTGTAACCTCTCCCATTTTCAGATGAGGCCTTGGCCCAAGTATCTATGGAAATGGGACCAGGATAGAAAGGGAAGCCCTAGACTCCATCCCTGCCACTGAGTCCATCAGCCTTTCCTTTCAGCCTGTAAATGCACAGCCATTGCCTATGATACATAATTTTTTGATCAATCAGATTCAGGGATACCGCAACATAAACTTAAGTGAAATAACCCAAAAGCCGGGTACAGTGGTACCACCTGTAATCCCAGAGGCTTGGGAGACTGAGGCAGGAGGATCACAAATTCAAAGCCAGTCTCAGCAACTCAGCAAGGCCCTGTCTAAATAAAACATTGAAAAAGGCTGGGGATAAAAAAAATTTTAAAAAAAACAGAAAGGAGGAGTAGAAATGTATATACTTGACATTGCAAGGCTGAGGGACAAAGACAACAGAAAGGAACAGGAGGGAGGCTCTGGGAGAACTCTGCATTGAACCCAAGTCTTATTGAGGACCTCTGTTTGTGTCATCTCTGCTCAGGGCCACCTGGCTTCCATGGCCTGTAAATACCCACGTTCCAGCACTGGGGTCTGGTGGAACTATCCACAAAAGCTCCTCTCTGCTTTAGAAGGCAAGAACAAGTCGTGCATTTACCCAGTGTCTCTAGTCTTCTTACTCTGAGTCGCCATGCCAACACACAGTCATAATTACCGAGGAACACGTCAATAGTGGCAGCATTGACAAAGACACTATATCAGGGCCTGTGAGCTAAGCAAGGTCAGGCTCCTTGCAGCCCCCCAGCTTCCTGCCCACTTCCTTTATTCCACTCTGATCCATCTCTTTCCGTTCATTCTTTCTCTCCCACCCAGATGGTCTCTGATTATATTTTCTCTTCAGAAAAAAGGACTACAGCTCAGCATATAAAACACTTTTATAGCAATCAAGAGACAGGTTCTCCTTTGAGTCCTGATTTTAACTTGTGGGAAAAGTCACTTTAACATCCAGGCCTCAGTTTTTTCTGTGAATGGGGAGAATTATCTAGACATTGCCTATTCAGCAAGTAGAGGCATGCATTTAATAAATCTTCTGAATTCAGGGGCTGCTAAGTATCATCTAGTCATTTCTGAGAGTATATGATCAGCACCAGAGG